CTGTACCAAAGCCCAAAATCAGTTTTATCTTTCTGTCGTTACGTTTGACACAATCTGTAGGTATACAAGGTCAGTAGAGAATGGCGATATGTCGTGTGGTAAATATTTAAAACTCAAAATGCTACAGAAAATTTATATTAATGTCAATAGAGTTCAAGGTACTTACATACTGCAGCATGCCAGATTAATGCAATATATGTCGTGGTATCTTCGTAGTTTCAGATACTACAAAGCAAGAGTATTTAGCTAGGTACTCATTAGAATCAGAGTAACGTAATGTGAGGTTATACAATGTTTATTAATTTCTTATAAAAAATACTATTTAATTAGTGAAAACCCCGTGGAAATACACTCAATTACGATATCTACTTGACTAAATGTAAGAGGGTTTTACATATAGTTATGTTAAAATTGGTAAACAACTTATTGTTATTACTTATTGGGAAAATACATTTCAGTTATCTTCGTGTCTTATGCAAATGTTAACACTGCCCGGAAGAATGCAATATAAGTAAAGTTTTTAAAAGAGCAACTTGAGAAACACCAGTTTTAAGGAGACCTTGTAAAGGGGCGTTTAACGAGGAAATTAAGTGAAAGTAGGATGTGTTCGAAGGTCGGCGTTACCTGCAGCCGCATTCTTTAACAAAAGTGACGCTTTTCGAAAGTTGAAACCGAGAGAGTAGTTTTAGATCAAATAGAGAACAATAATGATAATCTACTCTATTTGATAGGCACAAACATCCACGACCATAAGCTCTAATTAAGAATCAGTCACTTGAGAAACACCTCATATCCACTAAACCAAATTTTTGGAAAACAAGAAAGAACCGTATAACTAATATATTTTATACAGTACAAAGATTATATTTTAATGCCATACATTAAAATATATATAAATTAAGGGGTCATACACATACTGTAACAGTCAGTATTATAAGAATATAATATTTTGTTTAAATTTTAAAATTTTTTAAGGCGCTGGATATGGGCTGGTACTTAAATGACCGACGAAATATGTGAGTGATTAAAAACTTATATGTATATATTATAAAATATACACCCAAATACAGTTTTGTTACTACAACATTTCTGTTTCATCCCTGCCAGTAAGAAATCTTTGAGTAAAATTAATCGATAATCTCGACTGGGATGTAGTCTTCAGCGTCCTGATGTCATCGCTTTTTGCTCTTTTTACATTTTAAAGTAGTAGAATCTGTTTATTCACTTTCACTAGAACTCATTTTCACTCAAAATGGATATGAGATGTTTTTCAAATGACCGATTCTTGTTCTAAATTTGAAACTAATGGCTAATTTACACGAGATTGCATAGGTAGTATTATGTAGGTAGAATTTTAACTAGTACCACATGAACACACAAATGAGAGTAAGTTAAAATTTATTTAAAAACCTAAAAAAAAACATAAGTTCCCGAAGTTTAACGAGATGTCGCAAGTAACAGTATAAAACATTTCTCTAATATTAGTAAGTATTTTTTGAATCGTGATTAAACTTAATTTGAAATTCATTTACGTTTTATGGGAGATTTTAATTCAAAAATTGTAACCCCATTAACAAAGCGTCATATCATAAGCCCAAATTATAATTTATTATTTTTTCTACCAAAAATTCATCTAAATGGACATTTGAAGTTACCGATGAAACGTAATATTTTTAATTGATTCCATTCTTTTATTTTAATTCCTGGGCAAATAAACTGCGCAAACTGTAATTTTCAAATGCGACAAAATATATGTTTACCTCACAGTGATAAAGTTCGACGACCTCCACAGCTATGGGTGTATGTATTTATCTAGCATCATAGATTAATTTTTATTTATTAGGGTTGAGAGTGGGACAAGCGCCATACCGTGGGTACACTTCTTTTTACCCGACTGCGCGACGCAAAGGAGGGTAATGTGTTTATCAGTCTATGGATGTATGTTTGTTTGTTTCTATGTGGCTTCTAGAGACCAAATGCGTAGGCCGATTTTGATGATTCTTACGTCAGAATAGATTGACGTCTTAACCATGCGAGTGTCACTAAAGACATGACAGTAATCAAAATTCACCACAGCGACAACCAGACGCCATATTGTCAAAATGAAAAACAAAAATCTATGAACTATCTCGAGTGGGGTGTCGTTGAATAGGTGTTTTAAAATCATCTTTCCTTTATCATTTTTCATTTTAAATAATAGTTTAGGATTTATAACGATTTAAAGTTGTTTAACAAAACATTCTCGCAAATTTTCTTAAATATTGATTTAAGTTTGTATTTAAAGTATAAACGATATACAAACAAAAAAAAACAGTGAAAAATCATGAAGAACAAATATTTTTGGTAAAAAGATAAAGTATATGTAGCTTTGAGCCGATTTAGGTCTCTAGAGGGACTAATCATCAGTAGGTAGTTTAGATAACCGCAAGTTACTTTATAATCCCCACGATATTAACTCCCTCAATGAAATGACTAGATTGCGAAATTTACCATCTTATAACGAAGGCAACGAATCCTAACTAAAAAGTATAAAATAAAAATAAATAATTTAAAGAAAAACAAAAAACTCGACTACGTAAAAACGAATTTAAAAAATTATAATACAAGGCGTTAACTACTTAGACCATGTAGGTGTGTCATGTTTAATATTTATACATCTAACTATATATAGATCTAATATTTCACATACCTATTTATTTATTATTTGAAGTTAGATAATTTTATTACTTTATGTATTTACATTACGTTACAGTGGCGACACTTCTTGTACGTGCGAGTTCCGTTGTGGTTCCGTGCCCTATTATGGACGCTTAAATGAAATAGATTGAGGTCCTTTTTTTAATTGTGTATCTGTTGCATAAATTACATTGGCGGATTTAACGTTTTGAACCATGAGGTAGATTTCCCGGACGTTAACAAAAAACGGTACTCTCATCTAAAACATTAATTGTTGATAAGGAATAATAGTGTTAGAAAAAAAAAACATATGCAGAAATTAACTTGAAGTAGCGTCTGAATTTCCGGCGCATTTGCCTCTTCTGGACAGACTTAAGCTACATTTAGTTCATAATAAACAAACATCACCACAAATGACTCCACTGCTGGGACACAGTACTGCCACCGTGCGGGCGCAGTGCGAATCAGTAATTATTACCGCTTGCAGATGTAGCCGGGACTAATGCTATAATGTGTTCCACAACGTGTAGAGTTCGTTCGAGCAGCATTCTAGTATGCGGTCACCTATCTTTGACCAGCCTTTTCGAAAGTTGCTTGACTTTCGATCCATATGCCATCAAGCTCTGAATTATTAGATAATGAAGAAATAAAATTTTCACAAAAATGATTTAAAAATATTTTATTATAGTAACAGCAGGCAATATTTCACTCCTATTTGGTCCCTAACATCTAATAAATAATTTAACAAATAAAACACACATTTTAAGTAACAAATCCACAATAATATTAGTAAATTAATTTATAATAATAACAACAAATGTATACTGTTCGTAGTTAATATGATAAGCAGCAATATAAAAAATCGACATTATATGATTAATAAATAAATAATCTTAATGAAAAATGCTTAAAAATCCACTTTGATCCTGGCACTCTTGAGATTTTTCATTAAGAATATTTTACAGTATAGCAATGTGAATGCAACATTGATCAAATATCATAAATAAATAATATTCTTAATCTAATTACAGTGTATAGATTGAATTTACGAAGAAAACGGCTTCCAACTTTTTTGTTGTAACACCCTCTAAGCAAACAGATAAATTTTAATCTGGTTTTAATCTAAAGCTGCGCGCATACTGTTAACTTTTTTACACTGTGACTTTTTGTCTCCTGTCACTGTGCCTGAGAATTCTTGTGGTGCCGCGCGCACTTGTACACGTGACAATGAGACGACTTCCTTTTATATGACAGGAGCACGGGAGCAGAAACAACAAGTCACGATAGCAAAAAAGTATCCAAGGCGGAGGAAGTGGTGAACTGCCGAGCCAATTCAAAAAACTTTAACTCAACTTAGTGTTTTAGTGTGTACAACTAAACTATCACTGTCACCTTAACAGAATTGAAACTCATTCTGACATGATTAAAACTAAATTTAGTCTGGTACCAACAAAATTGCCATCGTTCTTCAATAATTAGCATTTACAAGTAGGGCAGTAATTCGACGCAATCAAAACATACACACAACATATAAGTATAAAGGTCGAAACATATTTTGACGGAAGATGCGTCGTGATTATTAAACTAGAACTGTCAATATATGTCAAGCAACTTACACAATCGACATACGATCCATCCGTGTACTAACGCATGTTTCGTGTGACGCGACGGATATTCCGTCACATATGAGCTGACATTCATATAAATTTCCCGTTGTCATAGAATCAAGTAATTTGCAGAGAAGCAAAGTCTGTTAATATAAGGAAAAATAAATTAGAAAGCTTTTGTTATCACATCAAATAATTTTATTTTGCGACCACGAAACAGAACTCACATGTATCGATCGATGCATGGAAAAATATTTTCAGACCCCTTCCATTTCATTATAAAACGAGAACTCAGATTAGTAGTTGGTTAATACCATTGGCCGTTTAAAGTCAATTGATAATGACAGTCATATATATTAACGTCATATTGAGAAGTGTAAATGTTATTTTATTTTGGTCGGATAATAGCTTAAACCAGGTACTAAAATTAGTTCTAGTTTTCTAAATAAGACGGGTAATGTTAATTATTTATAAGTACATAAGTAGTATATATAAGTATTTCGACGCTATATAATAAAAACTTCGCATCTGACATATTACCTATATGTAATAATATAGTATAATATACCATAGGTAATAATTTTTTTAAAGATTCAAAGCCTATCTATCCGGAAACGAAATTAGAAACGTTTTTATAATTTCATTAGAATCATCTCCGTACAGATTTCAGTCATAGGCTCGTGCCTCCGTTGCGTTATGAATTATGAAATAATGTATAAGCAAATATTCACACCAAACGTAGAGTCGCCGCTTACTGTATTGTACTGTCATGGCGCTTGACATATTATTAGTGTAGTGTGAATAAAATAATGATCAATTTATGTAATCAGTTTGATGTGAACGCAGCCTTGTTAAAAAAAAACATTGTCGGAGAAATGTAACACCTTGAATAACCACGACCACCACGACAGAAAACCATAACGAGAATTTTAAAGTCTGCAATCCTTATTATCATGATTATTGTAAATAAGATAGATAAATAATTTTATTACAAAATGGCTTCAGAAGCTTCGTTATTCATGGGCTGCATAACCATAGACTAGGTAGGTAATTGAAAATACTGACTATAATACGCGGTTATACCTAATGAAACTTATACCTATGTATCATATTATTTGATTTTTAAGTAACGGAGTTTTCACCACGTTGCTCCCGTGCGATGTTTACGGCATTCTGCCGAATTTAATATTTCTAAAATTATCACAATATAATATTTCTACAATTGTGAGAATTTCTAGTTTATATTCAGTAAATTAATTTTATTTCTTATTGCTAAATTTTATTTCTTTGAACCTCGACAAATATAAATCACTGTGCCCATCCTGGAAAAACCTAGTAGGTAGACCTTTATATTTAAATAAGGAAGTGTTTTAAAATTAAAATTTTCCACAGATTCCTCTGCGCTGAACTATGAATTTCAAAACGCAACAAATGACAACTAATCAGACGAGCCGCGCGCCCGCACCCCGCAGTGTGACACAGACGGAAACCCACTGCGTTGTATTTTATAGCTTATGGTATTTAAAAAAGTGATTCTTAAATTAATCAATGGTCGGCCTGGTCTTCTAAAACGAAGATTCAAGAAATCATCAGTTTTGTTCAGTAATAACTAGTGAGTGACAACGGTAATTAAAATAATTGAATTTGAACGGTAATTAAGATAACTGGTGATAAAGAGTTAGCACAGATTTATTATTTAAAGTTGTTAAAATATATGGGGCTGACTTGCGAATATAGATTTGTCACGTTTTTCAAAGATATGTTCTTTGAAACTGTCGGTACTTTGAAATGTGGTTGAATTCCTTAATGAACAATTAGTGGAATATATTATTTTTTATCTCTACTCATTATGTTTAAAGCTATCTAATATGAAGCAAATTCTGAAATAAAACAATTTTTATATACCAATTAATTACGTATTTTGTAAATTATATAAACTGGTAAATCTCGGCTATATATTGAAAAGCAATATTAAACTAAAGTATATATTGAGAAATAAAGATTTTTATAATTTTTATCATTAAAATTTCATTTTACGTTGTCAAGTAGATGGAGGAGGGTTTCATCATTTATTGTATAAGTGACGAGCCTAAATTCACCCCATTTTGAAGGCGTTTGACGACACTAGGTAGCTAAATGTGGTGTACATTAACCAGAGAGAACTTTTTAACTCATATTTTACGATTCCAATATTTTCGTCATCAAACGAGAAAAAAACTCATTAGAAAGTATCAAAAGTAAGTCATAAGCATCTTATGAAAGTATAATAATTGTCTTGTCGACACTGGCGAACTTCTCTAGCACCAAAGCTTAACCGAAGCCTTTATCTTAACATGATGTCAAAACATTCAGCGTCAGCTTAGAAGACTGTAATAGCCAAGCATATAAGATTTAAGCCTCAATCGTTTGAGTGCAACTCAAAATTAACTAATAACTGCTATAACCTAGGCACTTCTAGAGAAATAGAACGTAGCTCCACACTAGATGTATTCTGTACATTAATATTAGATCTGTTGTGGCGCATATGTGATTTCACCAAGTCCGAATTGACCAAAGCGGCCATCAAGCTCAGCTCCCCTGCTAAAACTGTGGCGCAAATCAGAGCGGCGAGTCTAGCTGAATTCTCCGCTGGCCGAGTACCGGCTCCTTTCACCCCTAAAATTTCTAGGCATGCGCCTTGACCCGTCAGGACTGTTCCTCCTCCAACTGTTCCGACTTCCAATGAAGGCATAGTACAGGTGACATACAAGTCTTCACCACTCTCCCCGCAAACTTCCATGCTTGTTGAACAATTACTACTAGTTACATTTTGAGCTGGGTCTTGTCCTGTAGCTATAAATATAGCGGTTACCATATTTGCGGCATGCGCATTGTTTCCACCAATAGATCCAGCCAAAGCGGACCCAGATAGATTCTTGATCTTATTGCATCTTGCCAAAGTCCTAGCATCCGTTTTAAAAATTGTTCTTAAACTTTCGTTTGAGATAATAGTTTCACATACTACTCTCTTTCCCCTGCCCTTTACCCAATTTATAGCGGCTGCTTTCTTGTCCGAACAGTAATTGCCGGACAGACTAATTACCTCCATGTCAGGGAAATACTTTTTTAACAATTTTAAAGCATTTTCAGCACCTTTTGATACCATATTCATACCCATAGCATCGCCAGTAGTGGCTCTAAAACGTAGATAAAGAGTTGCACCGTCGACGCCTATGTGAACTTCTTGAAGACGAGCAAATCTCGATGTGGAATCGAACGCTTCTTTAATTAATTCGTAGTTTTCTTTGTTGTCCATCCATTGACGGCACTCGTGAGCTCGAACTACGTTAGGAAGCCTGACAGCCGGTGCTCTGGTCATACCAACATCCTCGACCACACTGGTTACTCCTCTAATCCCAATCGCTTTCGCACCTCTGTTCGTTGACGCCACTAAAGCTCCTTCTGTCGTCGCCATAGGAATCATGTACGGCTTTCCATCAACGTATAAAGGACCCGCATATCCAACCGGGATACCTATATACCCAATAACATTCTCACAACAGGCATTTAACACTTTACTATAATCATAATTCAAATATGGAAGTTGTTTAATCGCATTTTCAGTTTGGAACCTCATGGCGATAACGCGCCTCCTTAGTCTGACTCCACGCAGAGGGTCTCCTAGCACTGTTTCTAATTTATGCAAAGGTACATGTGATTGTTCAACTAACATTACGACTTCTTCGTCACTAAGGGATGTACAAGCACCCTCTGAACGGTACACTTCTAGACATTCCGCCATTGGACGTTTTTTAGCGTTTAGTTTCGCTGCCGAAGAACTAGGTGATAATGTGGGCCACAGATCGTCTTCTACAGAAGCCATACACTCGGTTTGAGTCGACACTTCAGAGCCTGAATCATCCCCTACTGAAAACAATGGTTTCCTGTGTGATCCGTCATATTCCTTATCCTTTTGAACCAACTCTTTAACAGTCATATCATTCATGTCTATAACCCAATTCCTCTGCTCCTCAAAGAATATGAATTTTATTATCAGGGCGCACAGTAACGTCGCTATAACGATATAATCAGCGCTAACAGAAAACCATTTCACATAGGAGTGAAGCAACACATTGTTATGCGTTTCTGGAGTCATGCTGTCATTAGGACCTTCAGCTATGCCACTGTCTGCACTCCACGGCCATCTACTAGTCAAGTGAACACACAGCAAACCAGCGGCCATTATCATTTTCACTCTCTGAACTACAGGATTCGGTTTCATATCCTCCTCAGAAAAGGGGCTGTCCCTAACTATGTCTTTCCTGCCTGAAGCAAAATCGGCCACTAAAGACAAACAAGCAGGGTAGAAAGTAACAAACACCAAGTAGTCAACTAAGAGAGCAAGACATGCGAAACTGCACATATGTTCTAATCTTGGGACCCCTGACAGAGCTCCAACTCCTACTAATAGTACTGCTAATAACGTGTCTAACGTAGCCGTCGGGCCTAATAAGGATAAAGCTCTTCCCACCCTTTTACCTTGGTCTTCTCCGGCGCACCAACCAGCTTTGGCCATTCTCGCACCTCTGGCCACATCTGTGACCAATAAAAACAGGAACGGAGCATCTTTGATACCAGCCAGCTCACTCCAAAACAATCCAGCGAGAGCGGAGGTGAATATAAAGCTGGCAAAAGTGGAGAATACACCAGCAACGAAGAGGAGGTATTTGGAAGCAATTTTTTGTAGATTCGAGATTTGGTAATACGCGTAAAGGAGAGCTCCGCAGCGGACAATAGTCATGATAACGGCATCAGCTGCCTGGTATTCAGCTTCTAGTCCTGGGCAAGCTCTAGCCCAACCGGCACACCGTTCGGATTTGGATCCGGCGCCGTGTCTCTCCACGCTGGCTGCACAAGCTAGCAAGGCGAGTGTTGCAACGATCACCTCCCATTGGTGTCGAGCGCAGAACTCTCCATGAGCACCCCACACCCGCATTGTCTACTGCTGTAGCTGCTCGACAGCTTTTATCTGCGGACAACCAAGATGGAAATTAATTAAAGTCGCGAGGAACCTATGGATTCTCTGGTATTTCTAGTGTCACCTCAGTACAATGATATTAAATCAATCTTATCTTAGGAAAATATGTAAAAAGAAAACGTTTTCTTATTAATAGGAATACTGAATTTCACAATTACTTGTGGGTGGTATGAGTCCAAGCTGAGATATTTTTTTAATATTAAGAATACAAAATATTTCTATTAGTCTAGCGGTTTTCGTGTACTATTACCGATTCATTTTTATTGATATAGATAGATTTGTGTAAAGAATAACAAAAACAGGCTTTGCGCACTCTATAATTAATACAAATTACCACAGGAGTAAACATCATAAAAGGAAAATAAAATATTACATCATTTTATTGGGCATTTATTGATTACTAGCCTCAACGTTTAAAGGACTGTATTGCAGCCAATGGAGACCACTTCGAATAAGCTATATATATTTTAATGTCAATATTTATTGCAACACTGTATATTTATAAGAAAATCAAATTACGAATACAAATTAGCAAAAAAGTGAGAGTTATAATAAACCTGTTCATGAAGGAATTTGAATACGCATATAACATTTATATTAAATTAAAAAATACTGTTCTACCCTTGGCACGTCATTAGCATTAATAATGGTAACCATGTTTCGTAAGTTCGTGGAAGACCTTGCGGTTAGAAGAGTAGCTGTGTAAAACGCGACATTCTTGGGATTTACGAAATCATCATTTTCTAGTACCGAGATACGTACTTGGTACTAGAGAATAATGAATTCAATCATGTTATAGGTTATCTATAATAAAGCTAAAATTATGAAGACATTCTTATATATAAAACCTTAAAAGCCTTATTACATCTGAACTGTGATTTTGCGTGAATGGTAAATTTTGGCGTTCTCGATCTCGGAAACAAAAATATATTAATAATTTTGACATATGAAATAGTGCAAAATGAATAACTATTAGTATAGTTTTTAGTAAGGGTTCGCAATTTTTTAAATTGTGCTCAGTTTTTAATTAAACTCAAACATTACAGTGAAAAATTTACATAAACTTCTGTATTGAGATACTGGTCTAAACAAATGAAATATTATTATTATTAGACGTAAAGTTCACATTCATCGCCAAAAAGTATAGTCGACAGCACGTCAGTTTACTACATAGAGCCAAATATTTCAACAGCCCCACCAGCGCTGGTGCACATGCTTTCTCTATAGATGAAATCGAATCGAATAGGGAGAATGGGCTACAACCTAACACGACTGCCTAGTACTGGACCTCAATTTTACAAATATTTACGTAACAGTCGTTTCTGTAGATCTTCAATATAGATTGAATTTGCTATTTGCCATTTTACTATATACCTGAAGTCCAATATTATTTATTACTTCAATATCTTCCTCACAAATCAATGGAAACAGAGATATTTATTATTTTGTGTTCTATCAACAAGAACAGAGTCATAAACGTCCATTAAAATTCATTAGTTTAAAGCGAGATTACCCATACAAATTTGACATTCATTAGAGCTTAAAGGCGTGTTTAAAGTAAGTAAATATTTATAAATAAATATTTGGTCACCCATCCTTTGATCTGTCCTTACAAAAGTTACTAAACAACCGAAAGCGTCAATCACTGCTCCATTGAACTACTATTCCTCCTTTTCCGATTACACGCCTTAACAAATTGATAATTAAGTTCAATGTTGATTGCTTTTTGTTGTAACGCTACAAGTGGAACGTTCCAAATATCTTACACTCGAAATAACCTTGACCAAACTAGTTTCTCAATTTCACGATATATGATTTTTAAAACCTGTTTCTGACAGACGATCGCTAGTCCGACGTTTAAGACCTTGTCAGAGTATACATAAGGTACTAATTCGTTTGGCAGGTTCGATTCAGCGAATCTTAATAATACAGATTGACTTTCGCACGTCTAAAGAAAAACCAAAAATGAAATTTATATGACTGTTTACACCCTGCTATATCCGATCATTTGAAGACTTTATTGATATATTGAATTATACATAACTAGCTTTCCGTCAGTGGCTTTTAGTGGGATAAAATTTAGGCCAAAGTAAATTCAAGCTTAGAATTTAATTTAATAAATTATTTGGATAAGGTTACACGGATATACTTTACTCTTTGACACGGATGTACTCTTTGACAAAGATGTACTTTACTCTTTGACACGGATATAATTACTTTTTTTTCTTAATTCCATATACAAATTTTCACTCCCATTGTCATCCCTTTATTTGACGTTATTCGGGATAAAATAAAGCCTACGTTCACTGCATATAATGTAGCTTCCCATAGGTGAAATGATTTATAAAATTGGTCCAGTATTTTCGGAGCCTATTGGTTGCAAACAAACAATCAAATCTTTTCCTTTATAATATTAATATAGATAAATTATGTCTTTTTCGAGTGATAACAATGTAGCTGTTTGATGATGGACATGGTAGTGTTGAATATGTCTCTGCCTGGGTCTGTTTTATCCGGTTTGGATATCGTGGTTCAGATTACCATTTAGGGGAAGTACGTACAAAATGACATACTATTTTTTTGACATGTTATTTTTTTGTAAGTATTACGATTAGAATCAGTCTCTTAATTTTATTATCATCTTTGGTTATTTGCCTTACAATAATTTAAATAATTTTATCTATATTACTTTATCATGAGATCAACAGAGCATAATCAAAAGAAGTAGAAAAATCCATTTTGTCCATACTATACGGACAAAACGACATAATATTCATGGACATAATGACAGTAATAAAGTTAGGCACATAGTTCACAAACAAATTTTTTAATCTTGCGCGGAACATCAGCTCATGATGCATGGGCCCAGAGACTACACTTCATGCATTTTAACCAGTCTTCGCCAGGCTTAGAACGTGAAAATAAATCGTTACAATAAATGCATGCGCAATCATCGTCGTCATCAACGAATCGAGTATGAAGTTAGTAATCTTCAGTGTCTGATTCCTCATCGAATAAAGTCTTTGTTGCTTGACGCTTCTTCTTTTCATGAGGAATTTTTGGAGCATTTTTTTCTTTAACTTCGTCCATATTAGGAGTAGAAGTTAAGAGTAAATGAGAATTGCGTATCTTTTGTTTTCTCTTTCCTTGACCCTGAATAAATTTTCCTTGTGGTGCTGGAGATAAAACTTCTATAGGAAACGGTATATGATTAATGTCAGCCGTTTCCTGCCGTTTGCTGTTGAAGTTCAAGACCGGATGTTCCTGGGACTGGGCTAAAAGATGAGTGAATTTCTGGGTAACCAGCTGCAGATGAACTGCCAACAGCTAGCAGTTCAGCATCGATTGCATCACCATTTTCCGTATTATCTCGGCTTAATGGAATATTACTTGTTTCAGCCGGTTCATATTGAGATTTCCGTTTATAATTCGCGGCATACCTTTAAATTACTTTAAAATAAAAATAAAACAAACTTCCTATAATATGATATAAACATACGGACAAAATGACATACTATTTCGTTTTGTCCAGAACTCGAATATGTCATTTTGTCCGATGGCATAGAAAAAATAAAATAAAAGTTCACTTTGTTGAAACCACTGTTTTTTTAAATATATTTTACCTTAAATCACAGCCTAATGGTATACTGCATCGATTTAAGTAATAACATTAAAAGAAAATAATGTAAAACTTTCATGAAATGTGTAGAAAATCAGCATAATAAAAAAACTTTTAGACCCACGAAACACGTTTATACCTGTAACTCGTTCGTGACTGAGCCGAGAGTGACAGATTTTTTACAGGTTTGCTACAATGGCCGACGTCACATGATGTGATGTCGGTGGTCGTGTTTCCGCCCGCCAATTTTGAAAAACACATGGTGTGTCATTTTGTCCATATATGTCATTTTGTACGTACTTCCCCTACTAATGCTTAGCTAATTAATTTGAGATCTGTGCAAGTAACATATAATATAATCTAATACTTATAGGTATCAATTCAGCACTGGCTCAGTGTTTTGGCTTGTTGTATGAGAAGTTGTCTTCTATGTTAGTATTGTACATATTAGCATTAAGCGATATTACAATGCAAATATTGACTAACAATTAAATAGTAATAAGTATTTCCTATTAGTTACTATAATGATTAGTAACGAATTACAAATTATTCATTTATGCAATTCCATTGCAAATTTGAAAAAAAAAATACCAAGTGCGAGTCCGACTCGCGCACGATAAGTTCCGTACCGAAAATAAACAAAAGAAATAAGCTTAAATATTTATTATATTCTGTTTAATTAGTATTTGTTGTAATAGTGACAACGGATATACAAAATCTGTGCAAATCTCAACTATCTATCTCTCACGGTTCATAAGATAGGTACAGCCTGGTCAGCAAAAAAAAAAAAAAACCATGTTTGTAATATGGGAGTTCCCTTAAATATTTATTTTATTCTGGTCTTTAGTATTTGTTGTTGAAGCGGCTACAGAAAAACGTCAACTACGAAAATTTCTGTCTAACTTTTCATGAGCCTGGTGACAGACAGACAGGGAAATCTTAGTAACAGGGTTACCGCTTTACCCTTGGGATATGGTAAAAAATCGACATACGTTCAAAGCTAAAGTAGAATGATATATTACCCAGGGGAGGCAAAAACCACATTCCACAATCCGATTGATGTCGCATTATCGGATGGCAATGAACGTCGTATGCAATCTTTTTTGTATTAACATTATTATTATTATTATTACAGTGCAACAGATTATTTTTAGCTTCAATCATGGTGTACCATTTGTGTACTGCATTGGCGTCATCCGTGACGTAATCGCCTTTTGTGATACTTCATGAGCCATTCGTATGTAAAATACATGTACTAGAGATTCTGATCAGGTACAGAAACACATTAGTGATTCTTTAGTTAGAGGCAACAGGAAGCGAGATTGGGGAATTGTGAATTAATTAAGTATATCTTGTTTAAGAAAAATAAATATGTAAAATTAAAAAATAATCCATCAAGAATTGACTACATACCTATAATAGTATCATATGTAAAGAGAACTATTTGAAAATTTTCTTGTTTGAAACAAGGCAAGTCATTTCAACAATTGGTTTCAAATATGAAGGACCAAGTATAGAGCCCTGTGGAACATCTTCCTTGACATTCAAACCAGTTCAAATCACACTATCAAAATCAAAATTGTTTCTGTTACT